GGAATGTCGTGACGAAGATTTTCAATTTTTTTTCGGAGCCTCAAAAACCTTGGCGAAGACCGTGATTCTCTTGGAACACGACCGGGTTTTCATGATTTGGGCACGGATGCTCTGGTCAGCATATGCTTTTGGAACACGAACGGAATTATGATTTGGGCACGGACGCTCTGGTCACCGTATGCTCTTGGAACACGACCGGAATTATGATTTGGGCACGGATGCTCTGCTCAGCGTATGCTTTTGGAACACGAACGGAATTATGATTTGGGCATGGATGCTCTGCTCAGCGTATGCTCTTGGAACACGAACGGGATTATGGTTTGGGCATGGATGCTCTGGTCAGCGGATGCTCTTGGAACGCGAACGGTGCCAGCCCGGGCACTTGGCGCATCCGGAGCCAAACTCCTGGTATCCCCTGCATAACCCTATAATAGTCCCTTATATGATAGCCTCTTATATAATCCCGTTTAAGGAATTTAGACTATGCCTCATACATTAGGGGGAAGATGTATAAAGGGGCGGGGGCGGGGGCGGGGACTCCAGACACACCAAGTGCAGAATCTGAGGAGGCCGCCATCTTCATCCTCAGCACTCACCCTGAACCCCATCATATAGAATACAGTATATTGAAAAGAAAAAACAGAATATACTACAATATGGTGTCACGCAGTTTAGTATAATATAGTATCGTATAGTATGGTATAATACCTTCCATTTTCTTTTCCATTCTCCGCTATTTATCCTATTATTCGTGCTTGGACCATTGGGGCAACCCTACCCAACAGGACCCCTTCCTGCTGGAGTCCCACTTGACTGAGGAGCCACTTTTGTTTGAATGAGGGTCATTTCTTGGGGGTACCTTTGATCCTCTCCTTGCGAGAAGAAGCTTCCAAGACTTACCGTGTAGAATCTTTGTAACCCTTCCTCTAGGCCAAGCTTCCTCATCCATGATATGCAGGATCTCCTCAAGCTCCTTTCAGGATAGCTTCAAATGCCAGGATGACCATTGCAGGAAGAATCAAGGAAAACATGGCATCCGCTAGGACCTTGCGTGGATACCCTAATTGAGTTGCTTCGGCTTTGCTGCTTCTCGCTCCTGCTTCTTGATGTTGGGGAACGCCTGGCACAAGCTGTCTAGCGGACAGCAACTCAACTGTGATCCACCCTTGTAGCTCTCGTAATCAAGTGCTGCTTTTGTCACAGCTGCTACTTACAGTGGTTGTTCAGCAGTCAGCCGCAAAACTGCACTCCAGACGTTACAGGTTGCAGATGGCTTTACAGGATGTCTGCGCAACAAGCGGACACAAGCGTACCCAAAAACAAACGCCCTCTGAAGCCTTCTTCAGGACGTATTCCAGCTCTGGCGGATTCACTGCTTCGTCCTTCCAGAGGAGTCTAGGGGATGAAAAACCCTCGCAAGAGCGGTCAACCTGTACCCGCTGCACGTAGACAAATAACTTTTTTCAAATGCTTTGCAAGCTGGAAAGGTCCCATGGATCTATGCAAGCCCACTCCATTCTGCCGGTACCCTTCGTCCTCATCCATGTCCCACAATCGGAACACTGCAAGCCTTCAGTAGAAACAACAGACCTACTCAGTGCAGCGACCACAGATGCACACTGGATCTGTGCCAAGAGCAAGTCGCAATGAGAATCACGTTGCGACAACTGTGAGCCGGCAGCGCAGCTCAGCACTCAGAGATCAACACCGAAGATTGTTCCTACTTGCCTGCGGCTAGAAAGCCAAGTGGCTCCTGAAAGTACCTTAGCCGCTTTAGCCCTCCAAACTGCTCCACTTTGAGGTCTGCACAGGGGCTCAATGTCATCATCCGCCTGCCAGCTATCTGTATTCTTAGTGGATAGCTTCTCGACTTGCATGGCCACAAAGATTGAGACCTCCTCCTTGTGATCTTTTCTCACCCATTGCACCTGGCTCAAAGCTCCACGGAGCACTTTGAGTCTCAACACTTGACCAAATTACTTTGACTTTCAACACTCAATACCTTGATGTGGATCCAAGAGGTGCAGACTGCTCTGTCTGCATCTTCTGAGCCCGAAACAAATGCGTCAAAAGTGAGCTTGTTGTCACATCCGACACATCCGAGAGTTGCGAGCATGAAGGCCTCTGAGGCTTACATCAGGCATGCTCTCTTCGTAGGCAGATCTTCGATACATATCCGGTAGGGCAGCTACTTGCATATCTGCCCTTTCTGAAGAAGCGGCAAAATCAGGTTACTGGATGAGAGGTTTTGGAGTGCTCTCCTGCCTGAGTTCCTCACCCTATCAATCTCGAACGGCTTCAAGTAATTATGCGCGCGACGAAGCATCAGCGCGAACTCCTGGACAGTTGTGATCAGCCCGGCGAATGTAAATCTAAGGTGATCAGGGAGCCGCATATGCCTCGACCCTGGCACACAGGACTTGGATTTCGAAGGTAAAGCATTAAAGTGTGCAATGTAGTCCATTGAAACCAAGCGGCAGCTTTGCTTAGCAGGTTGTCACGGTCCTGCCGGCGCTTGGGCATGGCTTAGCCCGCTAGCATGAAGCCCTGGGAAGGACGATGCCTTGTCTGCAAAGACGAAGCTGGCCTTGAGGACCTCCAAAGAAAGATCGGCCAAAGGCACCACGAGACTTCCCTCATATGAAGGAGTTATATGGGTTAGAATGTGGATAATGGAAGCGAAAATGGAAGCTACTACACTATATACGTGCCAACAGACATGGCATTGCCTGTAGCGCATGCTAAATTCTATATTTTCCCTTTCTACATACTTATTAAAACAAGTATACATATATGCATATACACACATCTATGTCCCTGTGCGTATGTTAAATAACAAAGTGGAAAAAACATGTCAATGTGTGTAAATCACCTTACATATGGTAGACTGTTCTACCGGTTCTACTACATTGTCACCATCTCACCTTGTGACGCAGCCTGTCCAGTTGCTCCGGCGACATCACCTGCAAACACCCAAAACCTGAACCTTCGAATCCAACTTGTACTGACTAGAACTCAGTTGTGAGTGGGGCACTGGTTGGGCTGCCCTGTTCTCAAACAGAAGCTCGTGGGTGGAAATCTTCTTCTTACTCTAAAAACAGAGGATGTAATCTTGATCCACACATTAAGGTTCTACTCATGTGAACTGTCTTTGTTGTGGGCAGCATTTGAAGGTCGCGGTCGAGTTGGGGAATTTTGGCTTCGTGTAGCATGCATGCACAACGTGGTGGATTTTGGACACTCCTGGCAGGGAAAGTGCGACACCGTGCTGTGCCCTGAGTGAGAAGAACTCTTCAAGTTTGCTGGTAGCTGCTGGCCTTAGGCGAAGTGCAGGTACTGGAGGTTGGTGAGGTCCGCGATGACCTGAGCAAATCCAGCTGGACGCCACAGGTTGCGCACCGCTGAGGTGCAGCACTGTAGAAATTCTACTGACTTCTTTAAGTCCATCTGCAAGATGAGGGGCCTGAGATTAGGGAAGGTCGGGGTTGGGTCCGAGACTGCTGCGCGGGCGGCGTGGTTGCCGGCGTGGAGGATGACGATGGCCATGCATTTTTTGGTGGCCAAACCAGCGGTGGAAGGTCGGTGCCGTTTGTCCTCACAGAATTGTCGGAGGCTCTGTATCTTTGCAGCGGCAGGCTTTCCCATGCCTCGCCTTTCACTGGCGTGGACTTTTTACACTGATTTGTCCTGACCATAAACCAACACCACATACACACAAAGCTGCCTCTTGAACCTTTTCGGTGCGAGCTTTGGCTTGGAATGGGCGACAGCTGCCTGACCAACGCAACAAGGTGGAAAAAACTTTGAGCATGTCCAGAGCTTGTTCTGCGGTGTTCTCGCAAAGGAAACTTCAGCACAGACTTTATGTCAAGTCTCCTCTGATCTGCAATCTGCCCTTGGCATCGCCAAGTCTCTCTGTGGTTATCCCTTCAAATAAGGCCCCCGCCAAGTAGGTCATGGCATTTGCAGTCGAGCTCCAGGCTTCGCACTTGAGCAAGATGGCAGTCAAGTAGCAAGCACTGCGCTGGTCAGATCTGCGTGGGTCAACCAACGCTGGGCATCCATACATTCACTTAAGATATTTCCTGCTGGTCACCTAGTCACTTTGGAGACTGGTAAGGTCCAGGGCTGAAGCGGATTCTTGCATTTTCAGCTGTGATCCCTGTACTTTATGAGAACCAGGCTCGCTCTACGCATGGTCTGAAAGAACTGTTTCAGGTGGCACAAGATGGCATAGGTCAACTGCAAGAGGCTTGAAGCCCGTAATGCCCCGTCCAATCATTAGAGGCCAACCCACTGATAGACCCAAGAGGAGTTCAGACAATGGCAGTACTGGGCTCTCTGCCGAAGAGGCTGCGAAGCGTCTCCATAAGGAGCAGTTGGCGTGGGGCGCCCGTATGTCAGGTGCAGGTTGAGGGTAAGGGCTTGAGTTCTCCTTGAGGTTCTTAGCAAGGCTTTAGTGGAGCAAGAGAAGGTTATGGCTGTTGCAGCTTGGCAACTTACCGGGTCAACAGAAGTGACTCGAGCCGGCCCGAGCACTGTGGCTTTGGGTTGGTCACTTGGTGCGCATGCTCTGCAAGACCTCCACTCTCTGCTCTCTCTGCTCTGTCGTTTGGAGCTATGCCAGCAGGAGAGTCGCCAGAAGATAGGTGCTCTGCGCTGGGCTTAGCAGCACACGGAAAGGAGTCTCTGCCAAGCGTCCCTTCTGAAGACACGGCTTAAAGTGAAGCTTCTTGCCGGTTAGTTTGAGGTCAAGGGCAAAGAGGCTTCCATCCTGGGCCATGGATCCCGCCGATCGGCGCAATCCGCTCACCGGCTCAGCCTTCGGTGTAGGTGAGGGGCACCTGAGAGCATACGAGCAGGTGCAGCAGGTGCAGTCCTCACTATACCGACGCCAAGATTGTTTGCCCAAGAAAGCATTTCTGGGTTCTCGTGAAGGAATTCTTGGGTGCTGACGAGGAGGACACCGTTCTTCTCCTTCCTGTCGTAGAACCAGCGGCCGAACTTGTGCTCCTGCAGCCGCAAGCTGCCATAGGCAATTGTTGAGCTTGCGGTCCACACAATGGCCAGTTCCCGTTCCGCCAGATGACTCGCGTCTGTCTGTTTGCAATGCGTGGCACTTGCGCCTTCCCAATTGCCAACGCGAGGAAGCGCTTCCCCACGGCAATGTGGTTGATGCAGCCGGGGGCTTGGATAGGCCTCAGCGACTCATCATGGCTATGTCTTGTGCGAGGGCCTCCGGCCTTTGCTAAGCCCAGGGCCCCGCAGCAGGGAGGAGTTGCAACCCCTTTTTCTCCTCCTCGTCTCAGGGTTTGTGGTCCAAGCATCCTATCTATCAATGTGATCTGTGTTTGTCCTTCTCCTCTGTGCTGGTGGCTTTGCCGGAACGCCACGTGCGCAACCTCAAAAATCTCAACAAGATGGAGACAAAGTTTCAAAGGCCTGGGGCTTGCTCCGAGGACCCAACATGCCATCAACCCCGCCGGAGAAAATGACATTTGCCTGCTTCATGGCCTAAGAAGAAGTGTAGTACTTCGGGTGTCCCAATTTCCCTCCTCAGAATAAAGCCAACACTTGGTTCTTCTCCTGGATAAACAATCTTGCTAGAGTACACGTAGGAGGCGAATTCAAAAAGCTTCAGAGAAAATGTGCGCGTCAGGCTCCAAGGACTTCGTTTCCATCTGCCTTTGTGGTGGACTGAGTGCACAGCAGCGAGCGACGAGACCCACTTGCCATCTCCTGATGTCAGGAAAGGTTTGGAAGATTTTCAGCTACGATATGAGCATGCCCACTTTGTCCGAAGCTGAAAATCAGTACTGCGTTTGCATGTGTTGCAGCAACCCACGGTGCAAACATGGCCAACCCCTAGAAGCAGCTCTGCATTGAACCTGTCAGAATTTGTGAACAAGTTAACCTTCAGTATTGATCAATGCTGAAGGGGCAGGCTTCGAATCCCCCAACTTGGAATGGAAAGGAATCAGCTCTGGACTCTTTCAAGACGGGCCTAAGCTGGTGGTGGCCACGGGCTTCTTCGAAGCACTGGACCACATCATGATGCTTCCATCCTGACAGCTAATAATAATCGCAATAGTAAGAACAACAGTAATAATACCCCAAAATATACCCCATTGTACTACTGTAGTTTCCATGTTCCTTTGCATTACCCCTATACTACACCTGTATGCCCAAGATAAGTTTAAGTCTTTGCGCGGAGCATTGACATCTCCCAGCGTCCTGTCCACCAGAGACGAACTGCTCGGCATCCACCACGCATACAGCATCCACAGCATAGGTATGTCTGGGCAACTCACAGTTTGCCGGCAAATCCACACTCAAAGAATGAAACACCCTGTGGCCTCGTGAACATGAGGTGAGTGCCCTTGTCCACCTGCCAATGTCCAGACTACAGGGTCTTCTGCTGGTCCGCTTGATGGCAGACTAGGGAATGAAGAACCCTTGTGAAGGTCGGCTTTAGTGCAAGGCACTCAGCGCCAGGGCGGCACCTCTTCTACCAAAGATCTTGGAGTAGAGCAAAACAGTATGCAGAGACCAGCAATGTAAAAGGATCGGTGAGTAAAAAGCCTTGCATTTACCGAAGGGAAACCTGCAGTGGATCCACTAAACCTGGCACCCTCCCTCCGACCATGCAAAGACAAGGCGGCCTTCCAGAAGCGGACCGACTTGTCTGCGCCCCCAGAGAGTGGCTTGCCCCTAGGTCAAGATCTAAATAGTTCAAGAAGCAGTTGGATTGAGGAAATTCCTGAGATCTCGGGCTTGACTAGAAGGTCCAGCGAAGTCACTGCATCGACGTGGCCCAGCAACGTTTCCATACACCTGGCTGGACCAGAAAACCCTCGAGAACGTGCATGTCCGAAAGGCTTGCGCCTTCTGCTTCGCAAGTCCCAGATCTTCAGGGACTTGTCAGCAGAGGCCGTGTAGAACTAGCAAACGAGATTTTCTCTGCTGCAGATCAAAAAAGTGCAATCCCACACCTGTTCCCCGCCCACGTCAGCAACCACTGCTGTGGTCTCCTTCATGTGGCCATGCCTAGGAGGTTTTTGGGTATCTGAAAATACTTGCAGCTTCACAGAGGGCAGACATGCTACGAACAAGGCAGATGCTCTTTCAGAAGACTATTCTGAGCAGCGCGCAAAGCTCCGACGCAGCCTTAGAAAGGAATCCTGCTTAACCCTCATGCAACAGCGTGTGGAGCTCCAGCCACCAAGGCCTTCGTCTCTTTCTTTGAAACGCTGCGTGTCCCTGCAGCCAGCCCCTGCTGCAGGCGAGGGCCCACGATCCACCCCCTGAAGGAAGCTAAGGTTTGGCTGGTGGTGAGCTTTCAGGGTGCAGATCCTTCGCAGCCGACAGAGCTCAGGCATGGTGCCTCCTATACATGCGAAGCAGAGCCCTGGTCTGGGACGTTTGCGGCCGCCTGGCCTGTACAATGCCCGTTTGGCGACGCCATCTTGGCACCAGCTGGTAAGCTTTGAACTTGGAGGAAGTGAAACTTTTAGGGCCCGGAAGCAACCCAAGAGCATCTGGGCTGTCATGGGCCCCGGGACTTTTTTGCATGGATCCAGAGGTGAACCATTGGTCTCAAAGCTCATCAAAAAAAGCGTCAATGTCGTCAGGTGCGAAGACCTGATGAAAAGAGTCTGGAGCAACAATTTTCTTTACAGCTCTGATTCTTCCTGTTTTTCTTTCATCCGGGCTTCGATGGGGCCATGCCCAGCTGATACCGTTTTTGTTCAGGCTAGCAAGTGCAGCTGCCATGCAGACATCCAGCTGTAATGCTTGTTGGCCGGAGCCTGCAACTGCAAGATGTAAAAAATATGAAGTATCATACCTATTCCCGCAAGGAGTGGGGACTGCAGTACCCCCATGAAGAATACAACACAAAAGGTTCAAAAAGTTCGTAGCAGCAAATTGAAGGTCGGTTTAGCCAGTTTAGCTTCTCATCGCGGTATGAAGCGGCAGCTAAAAGAGTGACATGCCAGATTCAGGGTACGAAAAGGTACTGCGTACTTGTTACATCACCATGCTCCCTGCCTGGTGGTGAAAGCTGTCGGGACTTCGCATCCCAGGAGCCTGCAAGGCAAGCTATGCGATTTAGCCTTATGGGCTAAGCGTCTGCCTCAGTGACGGCTTCAGCATCAGATGCCGCAAGGTCAAAGAACTGGACGCCGCCCTTGGCAAAATGGGACTGAAGAATGTGCATGGAACATGCCCTGTGCCTCCATTCTATAGCAAAGCACACGATGAGCTCTGGCATTTGGCACGGCCCAGATCCATAACTCTGCTGCAAAGATCTGCGTTCAACTGAGACAGTCACGTCTGCCTTCCTTGGCCTCAGGCATGGACAGCGCGTCGTAAACTTGGAGTGCGCGCATGACCAAAAAAAATGCTTAACTTACGCATGCAGACACCTGACTCGAACAAGCCACCCCTTTGACGCAGCAGCTGCGGCTGCCGTTATCGAGCTTTCTGCATCCTCCTTCATGCTGTAGCTATTCTCTGAGTGCACCTTGTATCTGCCTCTGGGCGGAAGTGGCCTGTGGTTCGGCTCTCATGGGCTCCAAGAAGATATCCAAAGCACAACCTTCCGACAGCTTGGTTTGGGAGGGCTTGCCCATTCTGATTGGATCTATCATGGCCTTCAGGCATTGGCCCCCGCGCCAGGTCTAACTCTGCGGCGTCGAAGCCTCAGTGTTTGGACGCTTGACATTCAGAGCTCTTGAGGGCATCACACGACCTAAAACATATACGAGTAAAAATAATTTGCTGCGAGATGCATGCTTATCCAGGCATGCTTATCCTTGACTGCTCTAGGGGATGCCCGTCCAAGGGGCGCTTCACGCCACCTGCTGCTGCCACCAGCGCAGTATGAAAGCAGACCTAGGCAAAGGGCGAGGTACATCGAAAATTTGGAGAGACTGCAGCTTCCAAGGCCTGGAACTCCAGCTGCCAGTCACCAACGGCACCACCCTTCTCCTCAGAGCTTCTTTGATCACATGAGCCTGTACCTCTTTGCTTCATAGCCCAGTCGCTGCAGGCCGCTGGCGTGTGATCATCCTAGCAACAGGCACGCTGCGAAGCTGTAGAATGGTAAGGGTGATGAGCTGAGAGGTACTGGTAATGTTAGCTCTGCTTCCTCACAGACAAATCCCCAGAACAGCCATCGTTTGGCGAAACGCGGATGGCGGAGGCGTGGCAAACATCGTCATCCTCACCTGGGCTGTGACTTGTCTGGCACTGCAGACAAGGGCCTCATGTCCTGCGCGCACACCGGTCTGATAAGGTACTGACGAATGTGGGTCCGAAAGATAAGCTGGTCCTGCCAGGCGCGAAGGTGCTGGGTTGTGGAGGTTTTTCGGATGGTGTCGATCTGCTCTTCATGCAACAGCATGAGACGCAGGAAAGCCCGAAACTGTTAATGTTACGGAACAGCAAAGTCAACACTTACAGCAGCAGTGAGCGCTTAAACTCTTAGCTTCGGTGCAGTCCTGCTTCCAAACCTCCAGCGACCTTTCCCGCTCTTCTGACCCAACGTGAAGAAGGACCTGTCGAAATAAAACTGAAAAGTGCGCAAAGTGCGCGGCTGGGGTGGCTCAAAAAAGATCTAATGGTTCCAAACTCCGGGACGCAGGCCACGCGCGCCAGCTTTCCTTCGCCCTGCGAAGTCAGATCTAAGCCGCCTTGTAAGAGGCCAAAGTAGCCTCAGAGACTGGCTTCGGGCTTCAGATGACTTACAGCTGGGTTGATACCAGGTAGTATCCTTCATGGACATGCGGTCTTGTGAGAATTGAGCCCCGCAGCGTATCGAATTACATAAGGGGGCAGCTTACATGTTGGAGCCTTGCGAAGGGCTGCTTGCCCAGGGGCTGAGGTATCTCCGCTGCGAAGGCCAAAGCGCATCCGGCAGGCAAAGTAGCCTTCCCAGAACAGAGATGTCCCTTTCGGCTCATCGAACCTGCTTCTCCCGGCCTCAAGACCTCCTGCATGGCCTCTCTGGGATGGTCAGCCAGCCCCAGCCAGCTGAGGTAGCAGGCGTAGAGAAGGACAACTGGACAAGGACCTCACTGGTCCCTTAAAAAGCCAGCCTTCTGACTTTCATACACTTCCCCTGGCCTGGACCCGCTGCCGTGACTGCAGTCGTGTCCTTGGGCATGTGAATATTCCTTGAAACCTGGGACTTTGCATGAATAATAGTTTGGGCTGCGGGCATTCGGCCCGTGGGCAATGACGACGTTGAGTGGCGCTTGAGAGAGCCACCGGTGCATGGACACTACGAGCCGGAGCCTGCCAAGTGAGTCAAGGCATCAGAAAACTACCAGCTGCCACAGCACCTCTAACCTCTGGGGCACAGGCAGAACCTCCAGTGGTGGCACGCATCCGGACATCACAATGTCCATGACAGGACCTGCCGCTGCGAAAGAGTTCCCTGAAAGCTGTGCAGAAGTGATGGTCAGCCTTGCAGCTCGTAGTTGTCCTCAGCTGATACACTTCTCAGCAGTTACGAGACTGAGGGGAGGCCCCTTCGGGGATCTTAACCAGTTTGCCAGTTAAAGCATTGGCTCTTGCAGGGAGTATCCCTTGCCAGCACGCAGAAACGAAAGGAATTCCAACCACAAGTGCTTTGCCCTCCAGCTCTAAGGCTGGGGTGACTGGGGTGATGTATAAGCAGCATCGCAACCCTTTGCGGTGGAGCCATGTGTCGTACGTAGCGCCAGACAGGTTCACCACGAGGTAAGAGCCAGCATGATCGCGGTTCAATCGTGTGGCCAACCTGATCGATCTGCATGTATGTATATTGGACTCTTCTACTTAGCTGCCACGCATGCCTGTACTTGTAGGGCCCTGGCCAGTGCTGTCGTGCACGCGTTGGAAAGTCTGCTGCCTTGAGATTTGGCCGAACCTGGGCAAAATGCCAGATGCACAATATGCAGAGCTTCCTTCTCTTGAGCCTGCCACGGCCCTGCCTCAGCTAGACGACAGGCGTAGTCGTCGAAGGTCAGCTTGAACTCCTCTTTGCACGATGAAACCCATGTTGCCACGAGGTCTTGTGCAACTCGCAGCTATCAGAAAACTCTGTACCTTACAGGAAATTGATGAAACGGCCACACCAAGCAGTCCTTCTGCATTTCCGCGGCTGTTTCGCGCGCCGCGGCCCTCACCCCGAACATGGCATGGCGGGCAGCACCGTGCATGGGAGCCAATGGCTTCAAAAGGCTTTCACATGGCTGGAACTCAGGTCAGTTGCGTGGGGGGGTTTATAGGACTGTGTGGCGGTTCAGATGCAGATTGCAGATTGAGGTTGGGGTCCGTTCACAAAGCAACTGCTTCTCAGCTATAAGATGTCAGCTCTTGGAGCCAGATTTCAGCGCAGCTGGAGTCTCCGCGGGTAGGACATGCCCAATTCGCATCCGCAAACTCATTAATCATTAGCCCAGGAACATGACAAAAAGAGGATGGTTGACAGTATATTGTGGCGTACTATAGAATATTGAAGTATATTCCAATATATTACGGATCCATGGTCGTAGCATCAAAGCCCAGGAGCTGCTGTTGGCTGCGGTGCGAGGGTCCCAGAGCCTCACCTGGCAGGAGTCTTTCATGTATACCATGATATACCATGATAGACCATATTATACCATAATATACTTTAATATACCATAATATACCATAATATAATATACTATAGTATACCATGAGATACCATTATCTACCATAATATATGGTAAAAAACTATGATATGACATATATCCTTTCTGTTTGCAGGTCTTCGCCCATGTGGCTCAAGTCAACGCACAACGGTCAGCATGCCAGACGGACCACTCGATCCACGCCCACACTGATCAGCAGGCCACGATCCTCCAAGAGCGCCAAAGATAGCACCTGGCTCTCTGGCCCGGATCGTCTCCAGTGTTTTGGTGTTTGGGGTTCCTCAGGTTGAAGATTAAGATTTGCATGCAATATGCCTCGTGACACTGTGAATGTAACACCTTCGCATGGGTACCCAGCATATCCTTGTTCAGGGATAGCACCTTTTGGCATGTACATATCGCGTGCTCTGCTTCGGCTGTGACTCGCGGTTTGGCACTTCCACATTTGCCCTGCACAACACTTCGATCCCTCTTGCCACCTTCTCAAAATGGCCACCGCAATCGAACTTGTTGCGACCACCCGGGAAGATGTCCTGCCAAGCACAAATCAGTTGGCGCGGAAATTGTTGCAAGCCCTTGCCATACCTGTCCAAGTCAACAGCCTGGCTAGCACGCCTTCGCGGGCCTAAGACTTAAAAACTCCACCTCCGGGTTCAAAATTCGCGCGCCTTCTTGCCAGTCTCAACATCCCATCGCAGCACTGCGCAATCCTTCCCACCCGAGTACATGGTGCCTGCCACAAGCTGAGGGGTTGAATGCCACAGGGCTGCCCAAATAACTCATGTTATGAAATTAAGCAAATACCGTACATTTTGTCAGAAATTCTATGCGCAAACTTTCAAGCAGTAACCAGCACTCTGGCCTTCATCGGCACTGAGGCAAACGCTGGTCACGGCCATTTTATGCCTCAAGACTGCTGCACCCCAAACCAACGCATAGGAAGCTACGTTCCCGATCTGACAGGGGCACTGTACCATCAGGTGCTAAGGCATGCACCCTCGCAGGAAGCGGGGCTCACCCAAGGCTAAACCCGACACCTGAACACTTGGCCATATTTGGTAAAATACTTCCAAAGCTTTGGCATGCTCTGGCAGATCCGAAACTCTGCCTCCCGGCGTGATGTATCCTTGGAGAGCTCCTCCTGGCAAAGGCAAACAATGCTTGGACCTACGAAACACCGCCACGCGAGGGCTCAAGGGAAGCGGGACTGCGCGACTCCAAGGCTAAATTGCAGTTCTCTGTTGACATTACCACAACGCAAGGCTCCTGAACCTGCTCTCGGGTTCTTCCTTCCCCGATGGTATTGAGATACTCCTCCGGCCAGACAGTCGATTCTCATTCTCACGAACATAGATTGCCAGACGCTCGCGAAAAGCAAGCTCACCAGCGGAAATACAGGCACACTCGCTTAGTTTTCTCTGGTCCAGGTATGGGCTTGCGCCACACACACGTACACGGGTGCACCAAAGCTCGTCCTTGGCCAAGCGCACTCGCTTTTCGTCTGGAGTCTCAAAGAACTCGTCTTCCTCCTGTAAGTAAGAACAGATAGACCAAAAAATTGTTTAAGCCGGAAGCCGTTAAGCGCTCTGTTTTTTCTGCAGCTTGAAGCTGCTTCGATTGCGATGAAAATATCTGATTGGACACTCTGGCAGTCCGACTTGTGACAGCGCTTGGAAAAGCGGTGCAAAGATCACTGCTGTAAAGTTTGGGTGCATGAAGCTGTTATAGGGAGCTGATGCTGAAGAGGAGGCCTGGACACTGCAGGGTTAATTTATGCCCAATAATTCTGTCACGCATGTCTGGCCAGGGCCGTCCTCATCACCCGCGCGCGCGCCCTGCCAGAGATGTCTGAGTTTTCATTCAAGACGAGACATCCATGTATCTTCTTTTCACAGCTCTACACCCTCCGGCAAGAGGCCGCCAAGTGCAGTCGGCGAGAAACTTAGAAAATGGATTGCATAATAATCTCGGATTGCTCAGCACTGGGCAACCAAAGGTGACAAAAGATCCGTTGCTTGACGAAACGAGATTGCTGCCAAACATCCTGCAAGGATGCAGCTGGCCACAGGGGCGTCCAGGTCTTTGAGGGTTGCCTTCTCTTGTTCAGCATCTACCTAAGAAATCTGCGGAACGGAGTTTGCAAATCGTGCCAGAGCAAGGTGCAAGGTCTTTGCTTCGGTTACGCCTTGGGGTAGCATGGGCAAGCGAGGTAAGACAGTCACAGTGCTAGAGGCCAGGGCGCACAACTTGCCATTCCAGCCCTCTAATTCTACGTCCCACAACCTCAAACGTTTCACGTGACACCCACCTCAAGCTCCGAGTCTTCTGCCTCACTGGGCATATCGCCAGCTGCCTGGGCACAAATGGCTTCTTGAGGGTAGGCTTGGGGTGGAAGTTGAGGTAAAGCTAAGCTGAGGCAGGTTTAAGGCATCGCCTTAGCCTTCTCCCGACTGGCCGCACCACCACGATAGACACAACGACAATGGCCACCACCACAATGACTTCGGAGACGGCAACACAACATCGACCACGACGACCACGACGACCACGACGACGACCACGACGACGACCACGACCGTTACGACAACGACCGCCGCAGATGCCAATACCGCCGCCACCAGAGCCACCACCGAACCACCACCATCCTAACAACTTTCTGCACGGAACTGTGCTCTAGCCTCGGCCAGGGCATCGTCGCGTGCGCGGCGCCTGAGCAAATTTCAGTCCGTGACACGCAGCAAGGCAAGGCACACTCGAACAATTCGAACCAGTGGCACGCAAGCGTCTCACACAGTTTTCCTGCACGAAGGTATGCCCTGCCAATCATGCACTCAGCAGGATACTAGGGGCAGCCTCTCAATATTGTGTTCCTCAACTCTGCAATAACATGTGGCTGCAAGCTGAGTCTAAGAGTCTCACGCAGCCGCAGCAGCATTTTTGGTCTTGGCCTTCACCACTCTGCCACTCTACAATTGCTTAGCCACCGCTGTCTCACAGCTAGAGCAGCCATGAAGGACAAATAAAGCTGTTCAAAACTACTTTCTAGAACAAGGTCTCGGGACTGGCTACGTTGCACTTGCAACGCACCAATTTTGTCCCTGCCGTCTGCAGCAATGCGGTGCCTGCCAGTCAAGGTCTGTGCAAGTCTGAGGGCTCCCCCCGCATCTTGGAGGATTCCACACACAACTTCGTGCAGCTGCTTCAGAGGTCCTTCCCTCCAAACAAGCTTTTGTGAAAAACATGAGAGTGATGTACACCTGGCCCGCACATGTCGAATGCATCAGGTGCATCACAGTCACCACAACCTTTGCAACTACCCTTGAAAGAAATCGCACAATATTTGCTACAGCCTACCCATGACCCTATAATCCATACTTTCACCCCGTTTCCAGCATGCTCAGTCTACTGAGCCAGCGGTAGAAAGGAATATCTAGCTTACAGCAGGCGGAGTGTCTCAGTGGATCCCTGACTGGCGGTCACCTCAGCAAAGGCATCACAGGGGAATGAGTAAATGACTTAGAGGAATGATCTTTGGCTTGGATCCACATGCTGCTGGGCCGCAGTGCGGTATCACGCCCCTTGCGCGATGTATCTCTGGCACATTTGCGCTCAAAAGGTCCATGAAGGGGTTCGTCGTGGATCAACGGTAGGGTCTCGAAATTTTTGTACCTGCAAGAACGGGAACTGCACTGCCATATGAATTGCTTATTAACACCTCTGCGGTCACTGCTAGACTAAGACAAGCCCACGTCTTCGGCCTCGGGCTTCCATCCGCATCTGCAGCTCACCCTCCAGTTCAAGATTCGGCCTGATCGCCTGGGTATCAGCTTGTGCAATCTTTGACTTGTGCTTGGGGTGGTCAGAGTCCAGCTTCCCCACTTTCTCGCCTCCTAAGATGGATAGAAACTAAATCTGGAACACCATGGGGCTTGAAATTATCTGCAAACCATACACGACAGCCTTGGAGGAGAACACACCTGTCCCAAGCCACAAACTGGGGAAGTCCGCGCCTTCAGGTCTTGGAGGAGGCTATGCGCTTGTGCCGAGTTGTAGCCTTCCCGGCCGATTTTGCAGCGGAGCCCCAATCATACAGCCACAGCGCACACCAACAACATGTCTTGTAGTTTCTGCTTGCATGATGCTGCTACTGGATCACGGGCGGATGGGGTCTATATTTGAAACCCTGACTCAAACAAGAGGAAGCGTGGAAGAAGCTGACAACTTCTCCACGTTGCAGTGGCCTTTGGCCTCAGCAAGCGCTTTGAGGACTTCGGTGGACAGCGCCTGCCACTGGCAAATTTTGGGACTGCTCGAGACCCCAAGAGGAGGAGTTCATCTGCACCTAGGCATGCTATCAGCAGCAAGGTCGCAGCAGCAAGGTCGCAGCAGACACTTGGGCTCTTGCTTCCGAACGGCGCCAGCTGAATGCAACAAAAGACCAACAATGCCTGGCTTCCTGACCCTGAATTCTTGACCGTAGAGCTAAGACTGTGCAAAGACTCAGTTGTTTGATACATCAAGGCCGCAATTGGACCCTCTACTAGCCATAGCAACATCTGCGAGAATCTTTGGTGGCCATCTCGGCACCTGATCAAAGTCTTGTGCTGCTCGGTGCTGACTGGCTGCCTGGTCGTCAAGTGGTTCTTCTGCAGAAAGAATAAAACAACAAAGCCCACCTCAGAGGTTCCGCTGATGCCCAGCATAGCACGGAGGAGCTCTGCGGCCAAGTCCACCTGCAGGCTCCCGGGCTCTCACAAGCTCACAGGCAACTCACAGACTCTTACAGCTTAAGAGCTACGATGAGCTACGGATAGAACCTGGTGCTTGGGGTTAGCGTGCTAGTTCCATGATCTGCAAGGCTTTACAACATCCCGCTTGTTATGAAGCAGCATCTCAAGAGCAATGTGCCTTGCCAGTGTACACCAGCCCACGTATCAGTGTTTGGCAGATCCTTGGACAAGAAGTCTTACGCTGGGCAAGCATTTTTTGTGGCCTCTGGCTTTCAAGTGCAGGCGCAACTTATCAGAAATGAGGAAGGATCGCCATGAGAATCTACCCACTACCCATAACAGAAAAGCTGAGACGGGGAAATGGATTCTCTACGTAGTTCCAGCCCACCAATAGGAGAGCCAACAATTGCAGTGCCCAGTAGCTTCTTGTCTGCCGACAAACGATCCTGGCAGTTGTCTGGTGTACGCAAGCTTTGGGACAAATTGAAACACGTTTCGCTCACTCTTTCACACCCTTGCTGGCGCTTGCTTGACCTGAACCAAATGCTAGCCTGACACAATTCCACCAACACGCCAATCCACGTAAACAGTTGTAGGACTGTGGAAATGGCGGGTCACCTTGTGCGTCTTGAGATAAAAGCGGGCACCGCGGTCGTAGGCTTTGCAAGTGATGCAGGCCTGAAACAAAAGAAAGACAGTCTTGCCTCTTGACCTTAGCTGCAAGATCTTGCAAGTGCGCCTGGAGCAGGGCCGTCTGCAGCTGCGCACCCAAGCGGAAGCGGAAGCGTGATGAAGCATTTTCGCATACCCTTGCAGCCACGTGCAGCTGCACTGAGCCAAGCTCGCGGAAAACTGTGCCCACAGCAACCAGGCCGAGAGACTTGAATGCCCGGTCCAGCCGCTTGGCATTGGCCATGATCCTTGTTTGAAGACCACAATTGGCAAGGGAATGGTCTGGCAAGTCGTTAAAACCTGGCACCCAAGAAAATCCGTGAACCGCACATGGTCCAACCCCCGAGCGAGAGGCAAGCCATTGGGTCCAAGCCACTTCACCACGGAGCTGAGGGTGTAGACACTCGGTGCTAAGCCCTGATCCATCATTGTCTCCACCAGGTGGTCTCCTCCAAAGACTCGCAAACTGCTGTATGCCCTTGGCTTCAATTCATGCGGAAAAAACTTACCACAAGCGGGCCTTCATCGACGAGCCCAGCCTGCAAGCAGCCATCCAGGAGGGTGTTGTACCTTGGACTCAGAACAGCAGGGATCACCCTGAAGCCTACTGAGGGCCCGTTGGATTTCCTGGACTTTTCGGAGCAGTGTATGCGGCGCAAGTTGCACGACCTCATCCGGGACTTCAGACCCGCTGCGCAGCTCTCTGAACACCTCTGAGCTTGCTCTGCTGGATCAGCAGGTCTCTGTCAGATTTGTGGGGGTGAAGATACAGCCGGATGAAACAAAAAGACTTCTGCAGCTGCAAACTGGACCAACCTCGAAGGCGCTCTGCATGTCTCCAGCAGCACAGTATCCCTGTGCGGCCCGACCCGGTGGTGGATTCCCACTTTTACTTTTTACGAAGTATGCTTCGGGATCTACTGCTGAGCGGGCTGTCGCAACACTACTTAGCTGTTGAAAGTGCGTGATTGCCCTGCACCAGTTATTCTAAGCGCCCTGGAGAGCATGCCTTGATCAGAGTGCTGTACGTGATGAGGTTCGGCTTGAACCCGTACTTCTGCATGGTGTCCAGCAGCCCGCTGATCTGATGCAGACATGCTCATGGGATGCTTCCCGTTCTAAAAAAGGGCCTAGCCTGGCCTTGTCAACCTCATCATTGCGGACGCAGCCGTCCAGGATGGCATTGAAACTCATCAGCGTCGGGGTGATTCCTTGGTAAATCCAGTGCCATGGGAGAGCAGGTGGCTGTCTCCAGTTAGAAGCCTTGTAGAACTTACTGTATAACCATTTACACAACAATGCCCAAGCTCCATGGACCTGCATCTCACTGAACGCGTCCCACACACGGTCCATGCCTTGGCCATGCAGAGACTCTCTTTTTTCCACAAAGCTGCAAAGTGTGAGTGCCCAAAGTCACACGGAAAGAACTTGCCACGGTGCGCTTCTTGCGGCTGAAGCCCTTCAATATGGAGCCATAGATGACGGCATTCACCTCAGGTGTGAAACCTCTTGCCGTGGCGGTGCTCAGTTTCAGCCGAGCCTGCGATTTCGTCTCAGGGTCTTCCAGGAGCCTGGCTCGCTTGCAACTTGCTGGAAACTCGCTTATGGCTCAACGAGCCTCTGGACCAGTTCATGGGCTCCATCTACATCGCCGTTGCTTGCCACAGCCTTTGACAGTCAGTGCAGTCTGGTCAGCTTCACCCCAATGGCAACACACATCAACTGGCCTCAACCATGCAGCCAAGCGTAATGTTGGTAGGCCTCGGGTTGTCACATGACAAGCTCTGCCGCGAAAACCGTACTCTGATGCAAAAAAGTTGAGCAAACACACAGGCTGTCAGAGCCCCAGGAGCTGGATGTGCTGCATGGACATCTCCCGCCAGCAAGCCCAAGCACCTGCAACATCCTTCACGAAGCCGTAAGCCTGTCAGGACGGGATGGCTTAGCTTCTGCAGCCACCTGCGGCAGCAAAGATCTGCAGTTGCTCCTGCGAAATCCAAAATTTAAACCTCAAACTTTGGAAGCCGCGTCCTACTTACCTGTTTCCTTGCGCCTTGATCAGGGAGCCGAAGCTGTGCGCACCAGTGACCTTTACAGGGAATGGGGCGCCCTCGCCGTGGAAGGTCTTCAGCTTCTTCTGCACCACCTGGGCCTGGAAAGAAATCACGATATGAGTAACTATGAGTAAAAAGAGCAAAGGCGTGTGTGCAGGAGAGCCTTGCCAACGCGCACGCCAGCTTCCAGAACCGTGCAGAGGAGTCCCTCATCTACCTGGATGGAGAGATTCAGGTTGTATCATTCCAGTTTTGCAGGACCCCGCACTTCAACACAAGCATCAAGAAGCTTCCCAATTGTTTGAAAGTCAGGTTGTTGGCCTCTTGCTTACGGCAGCCCACAGGACGATGTCAGTCTAGCGGTTTGGTGTCAACTGCAGTGGTTCGGCCTGATGTTGCACTGCATCCACCAGCTGCATAGCCCGGTTCACCTCGGAGCCGTAGGATTTTGGCCTGCCAGGAAGCGGGAAACAGAGGATTTTGAGAGCGCAGTCCAGCCTGAGGCTTCGCAAGAGGTTGGCCACAAGCGGCTTGTTGGGTACCACTTGTTCCGCCTGCATCTCCTCAGTACACAGCAGGCTTCAGGCTTGGTACACTAGTAATCACTAGTACCCTGATGGTTTGACCCACCAAAATATGCATGCGCCTCACAATCTATTGGTTTCCTTCCAGTGTCCACCCTTCTCATGCCTCCTAGAGATGTAAATCACGTCGCGCAGCAGATACACTTCTACTTGAAAGAACCACAAACACTTGAATTCCAGTATCTGGCAGCTCTTCAGCCCAAGTTGCCGAAACCAACTCCCAGGCACGGGTCCTCAAAGCAGAGCAAGGCTAAGGACATAGAAGAGACACCCCCCAAACGAACAAACCTCTGCTCCACCAGCCCCTTAAAGAGCCTATGCTTGGCCTTAGGAGTGACAGCCCAAGGCCCCTCCTGTGCATCTCCTTGTTGGTCTTTAGGAGGCCACTGATCAGCTCATGATATGTGACAGTGTTTGGCAGGTGTGCCGGATCCTGGCCTGGGCGCTTTGATGTGAGGCTCTGCATCTTACAGCTAAGGAGCAGATGCCCAAGAATAGTAAGAGTAATGATGTAAGAGTAGTAACAACAGCAATAATGATCAGAGTAGCAATAGCCGTAATAGTCTTAAAGAATAACAATCATAAGAGTACCAGTAGCTATTTTGAAAGTAACAACCAAGGCTGCGGCGCATTTGTAGAAGCAGGGAGCATGCTTGGTCAAAGAGGTTGTGGCGCACATATGCTTTGAGCAGCGTGTTGTAGGACACCACGTCGATGACCTGAACTGTGCATGTAAGCATTTCACTACCTAGTTCGAATGGACCAACAGCTGATTGCAACAAGTAACATGCTAAAACATATTGAGCTAGACCCTTGATCGTTCACTGCAGCACGGAAACGGCCTGAAGGGGCCAGATTAGTCACATCCTGGGAAGTGCAGAAAAGGCGCGCCAGCTTCCTTCATCCTCTTTGCCAACTGCTTAGCCTGTCAGACGTCGGCTGCAACACTCCCATCACCAAACAGATCCGAAGAGTCCATCTGCAGACGGGTCTCGGAAAGGTGCCATGCCTACAACATCCCTCGGTCAACTTGAATTCAACCACCGACATGCTCCTGTGAAAGTGCCTCGAACCTCCAAACTCCAGCCCCAAACTTCGTCGGCTGGATCGATTAGAATGCTGGCTAGTCGTCTTGCTGGGGATGTAAGCGTAATTAGCTGGCAACTGGTGATTCTCTTTGTAGCCTGAGGAGCTGCTGGATGACATCTTATCCCCTGGAGATGTGGGTACCCCTTCCTTGTCCAACTCGCCGTTTTCAACACAAGTGTCCAGTGCGATGTTCCAGGCTGTGGACGGCAGCTTTGTTGGGCCATCCAACCTCCGGCAACTGCCAACAACATATCAATACACATTAGCATTTATTAAGGACACCCCCTTGACTCGGGACTCTGCTTGCAAAACAAACTCTGCGGGAACAACGAACCAGAACGGCCAACCTGCGAACTAAACTCACAGTTCCGATGTCTGTGTGGCACTGCTGAAGAAATTGATGCTCTGGTGTCTCTGGCAACTTGCCTGACAGCAACCCTTCAAAAGATCTGACAAGAAGCAAACTGAGAACGCCATCGATATTGCCATTTTTGCCTCAGGGACAAGATGAGGAGCCAAGCAGTCTTGAGCTAAGCTACACTGCCACAGACCACACTCAAACCCTGGCGTAGAACTCCAACAAATCAAAGCCAAAAGGAGAAAAAGAAGGCAGAAGGCCTCCGGAGCGGAGGAGCGCAGCACCTGGCCAATCTCACAGCAGCACTCGGAATCCCATGGAACGGTGGCCACCGAGCCTTGCGCGGCGTCGGCCGCCTCCATCAACTCATCAAGTAGCTCCTTGTGCCAATTCGGAAGAAGCTTCTTAGGCTTGGTATGTCTCCTTATAACCCCAATATATCTCCTCTATAATCCCTATAGATTTCATTTTTTTTTATTATCTCAGTATGTATTCTATGCGAGACCTTTCCTGGCGCTGGCAGCTTTGGGCCGCCGCGATGAGGCAGTGCTTGGTCCGCGCATCGATGGTTGGACGCTGCCTCAGGCAGGGCGTCCAGCACCAGGGCCGCTTTGATGATGGTTTCGGAACACGCCAACAGAATGCTTCCGAGACGCGAATGTCCATCCACGCCCTCCAGTTCAGCAGGGGGAGCCAAATTCTATGTTCCGAATGCCTTTCAACTGCCCAAAGCCTCCCGGCCTAAACCGTGCATAGGGGAAAGAGGTAAGTATGCCTCCTATCTACGACCCGCAATCACCTTCAAATCATGTGCATGACAATTTGCTTTCATTTTTCTCTGCCTTCTGCATCAGGCCGTTGTAGACGTCGCATGCTCTTGATGGCTCTCCAGCCTCAAAATCCCAGAGTCCCAGAGCCAAGGACAGCCCTCCACCTGCAAAAGCCTACTCGCTATTCTCGGTTGAACCGCCGCTGGCCTCGGTGTAGAAGCGGATCAAGGACATGAAAGCAGGAGCCTGCAGGGGCAGAAGATTTTGATAAACTCATGGACAGGGGAACGTTTGGCACTCTTCGCCTGGTTGGGCTCGGCTGGATTCAGGCGCTCGGCCAGGGTTTCCTGACAAAGCAAAGTGCACAGCTAGGAATATGCATCTTGATTGAAGAGCATTGCACCGTACGACCGCTTAACATTGCTTGCTTAACACAATCCAGAATGGATGGTACTCAGACTGTGCTTGGCTTGTCAGACGGCACACACCTCTCAGGCGCTTCATGTTGCACATGGCTGCAACTACTCTCCGCACAGCCCTTTGCCAGGGCTCTGCCAAGCCCACATCCCCAGTCTTCGAGCACGCATCAAGCACAGCTTGTGCCACAACGTTGTCCATTGAACCTCGGACCCACCACAGCTGGACGGCCACTGACGGTGACCGACAGTGGCATGGGAAAGATATCGTGTATGGCTTGCCCCATGATGCAGGCTAGGCAAACCCCAACGTCATTCCCCATGACATCAGCCACCTTGAAGCTCTTAAATGGAATCAGGACCCACATTAGTGTTGTGTTCTCAGTACCTGGAAACGCTGTCACCAGCAAAGAGAACCACAGACCAGGCAATAGGCTTCGTTGAACACACTTCGAGAACAACAAATGTGAAATTGGAAGGGGTGCCGTCCCCACCTCGCCACTTGTTCATCACTAGTGCAGAAAAAGTTTCTGGGATGGCTAGTTTCTCCACAGACATTTGCTTGCAAGGCTTCGAGCTGCCGCAAAAAGGAATCCATTGCCCAACAGCACGAACTCCTCCCCTCCTCTTTACAACATTGAGTCTGTTTGCATCCCCTATTATATGCGTAAACCATCTGAGACATTTCTGAGCTCACCGGGGCACCCAATTGCTCGAGTATGCGGCGGATCTCCTTCCATGCGGCTGCAGAATGTGCGTAACTGTTCAGAGGGACAGAGTACTATGTACAAGGATGGTTGTCAATAGTCAAGTTGAGGCCTGGCAAAATCTACACAAATGCCAAATTCGACCACCCTTGTAAACTTGAAAGTCACCATTTTGATCTATTGACTTTTGCGCGAGCCTCAGTATCACGTCCCGCTGCTCGTACCAGGAGACTGTAAGTGCCTGAGTCAGGCCCGTATTCACAGGCCAGTGCATGCAGCAAGCTTCACGGATCCATAGTTTACTGCAGAAACCGCCCAAAATGTTCGAGTAAGGCTTGGTGCACTTCGAGAAGCTACACCTGGAGTCTGCGACCATTTTACACGACCATTGTACGTAAAAGCAACAACAGGAGTGGAGCTGCAGCCACAGCACGGCCATTCTTCTCCAGGCCCTGGCTTTCTGCAAGATCCAAAGCCTGAAAAAAGCCACATGAAAAACTTCATTTGTCGTGCAGCATGCGTCGAGATGCAACCAATTGCTATTAGCTCTTGGAACTTTAACACCCAAAACCCGGCAAAGACACACACTCTGCGCCTTCTTGGCCAGCTGATTATCTTCGGTACGCAGCGATTCGTTCAGCATCAGATTTAGGGCATCCACCTTCGACCAAGAACTTGCCAGCTCTGCTTTGTTGCTCAACGTCTGGGCAACATCTTGGATCTGAGGAGTTGGGGTTCTTCCGAGTCAACTGAGCCCAACGGCTTCCTCATCGAATGGTTTCCCTGCTGCGATGGGAAAAGCAGAGCTTAATCCAAAATGAGATCTTGGAGCCTGCAACTAACTTGCGCCGCGGTGCAGTCATGGGGATGCGGCCAGATTCCAAGTGGGGCAGCACTTCGGCAACATTCCTTCAAGACTTTCAGGGAGCTTTAAGTTGACTCCAGTGCTTATGGTCTATCATTCACTCTTCTCCTGTCCCGGCAGGCAGTCTCCACGAGCTGTGTGCCAACGTGCTTGGGCAAAGTGTCCTTAGCTCGAGTGGGCTTTTTACAGTTTCTGTCCTTTGCTTGCTTGCCTCGTTTTGGCCATCTGAAACTCCAACGTACAGGCTCCAAGCAATGGAATCGCAACGAACATGCCCAAGAACATCTAGGTGCATCCGACTTCTACATCCATTACATGGCTTCGCTTTCTAGATCGGTTGCCTCGATACGTCAAGTCTGCAGTCCTCTCTCCGCCAAGCCTCAGATGGCACCTGGATGTAGCACTGCAGAGCATCACCTCACATCACGTCCCATGAGAGCCCAAATGCAATGACTACGCTGTGGTGACTACACCGTCTTTGACCCATGCCGCCAAGTTTCTGAGGTTGCCCTCCTGCCAATCACAGCAGCTACCGATTTGCTCAAGGAGACATGTGATCGTTGCGTGGGATTTAGTTGGATTCAGGCGTTGGGCATTCAAGACATGACTGATGTCGGCTTCCCTGGCCGCTCCACTGTTCGGATAAGATGCTCAAACCAGACCGTAATCAACCTGTCTCTGACACACGTGCATCATAACATGACAGACGCTAAAGCAATTTGGAAACCCACCCTCATGTAACAACGCATGAAAAGGTCTACACCTGTGGACCATAATCCTAATCGATTTTCCGGCACTGCTTGGTGAAGCAGGGCGGCGTTCTTTGAAAGTTGGCGTCGATACCAGTGCACATTCAAGTCCCTGTCGAGGGAACTTTGAGAATCACTTTACGTACATAACGCTTGCAATGATCCTTCGTCATTCGTCATCAGTTTGGCTTGGTAACGCTTGGCGATGCCTGAAAAACCAACTTGATGCCTTCAAGCCAGGATCTCTGAGACGAAAGGCTTGAAGGCTGCAAAGCTCCGCTGGATAAGTGCGTGAAAGGCATGTCCAGAACCCCTCCAATTTCGAGATACATTGAAAGACAGATTCAGGATGACAACTGTGTGCTCGAGCATCTAGGTGCAGATTTGGGGGCTTGTCAAGCAAAGACCACGAGACAGACTTGTCAAGCTCAATTTCCCATGCAACGAGGCGCATGTCACAATGTCGATTGGCATCTAGCTGGCAATGGCCAAGTGATCATCGGGTGGAAGCCTTCACACGCCCTCTCAAGGATAGTCTTTCAGAGTTCGAATCCCCTGGAATGCGAGTTGGCTAGATCGCAGAGCCCAGTTGTGGTTGAGGCGACACAAGGATCTGGTATGCGTACTCGATGCTGACAAGCGGCTAAGCGAAGCTTTAGTGCTCAGGTCGTTTGTGCGCAAGCAGATTTCGTACCAGTTATCACACGGTTAGGTACAGCACATCCTGCAGACGTTCAAGTCAACATGATTGGCTGCAAACAAAGAGCTAATGCTCTGGTGCAGTTTTCTCTTTCATTGGGAGCCTCATCCCAATTTCAGGCACCATTCATAGTCTCATGATGTTTCTGAATTCTCGCGAAGGTACACAAGCGCCCTATTGCGTCGAGACTGATTTGCAATCTTCGTTGCATGTGGTTTGGCCCTTTCAACGTCTTCCTTGTGGAAAAAGTGAAGCCGGTGGTGAAGCTGTTGAACACGGTTATTACCTTCACTGACCATATCTTGCAATATCTGCAGTGCTTATCATGCAAATCGGGCTTTGGAGTTGTGACCCTTGATGTGATAAACTTGTACCGTACTTGTGCCCATCCATAGATAGGCAGGATCTCTTCCAGGTGATCCTTACCTGCTTGAGACGACACATCTCGGATTCTCGGTTGCGCACTTTTGTCTTCGGGCCCTGGGGCTTGTCATGAATGCTTGCTTGATCTTGCCTGGTTTCATTTGCTGGTCAAGTCTTCGAATCGCAGGACGGCATTGCTACTGGCCTGGCAGTTGCAGGGCAGGCTGCAAACATCTACTTGTCACATTTCGACATCTTTTTGCTGCAGCACTGTTCAGGGTCATTGCAATTCCTGCATCAATATATAGATGACCTGATCTTGTTGTGGAAAAGGATCCCTGCTTTCTTTGCTTGAGATTGCAAACAGTTGGCATGCGTCTTTGAATTTTGACGTGTCAGGAGATGGCGCTGTGCATCTTTACAGGTGACTTTGCACATTGAGCTTGACAAGTCTGTCTCCTGGTCTTCGTCTGGCAAGCGTTGTAGGGCACGTGCTAGAGCTAACAGTTAACGGCGCCGAGCCTGCAGGGCCGTCTTCAACAGCACCAACGTAGAGCGCTGCGTAGGCTTCAAACCTTCGTTGTGCATCTTGGCTGCGAGCTCCTTGACCTCAGGAACTTCACCCCGGGACTTGAGCTGAGCAGCATACTTTTGGACCAAGTACACCCAAATGACCCTAATATTATCCCAGTTTGCATTTCGTTCTCTGTTGTCCTTTCCACTTGGTTCGCCACTATCGGGATCATGTCCCCGTAATGTTTATTCTCCTGTACTTGATGACAAAACTTTCATGCCCTTGGGGCCTCATCGAAGCTTCTGGTCGCGAAATGCAGGTTCATCAATATCTCGTAGGTCCTGCACCAGCAATGCCATTGAGGTAGACCTGTGTTGTGGTGCTAGAAATATTCAAGCTGAACATGAAGGCACGTGGACACTGACACTTTATTCTTTTTGCCAGGATAGGCAGTTCAATGAACACAGACGAGGGTTAGCTCTGCGCCTGTATTGGCGAATACTTTGTACCAAGTAGATTGCCTGAAGGACATGGTGCTGCGAGGTACCAGTTGTGATCGTGAAGCGGTCCAGCCACAACCCGACAAGGTTTGGAGCTCAAGTCATGAGGGCGTCCAGAAAATAGGAAATTCTATTTTAGTATTAGACTATATTGGGGTCCAGAATTCAAGACCTCTATTTCTGGAAACGATCTCATCGGCATCCCTTGAAACCTACATCCCAACAGCCTTAGTTGAAATAAACCCACCAGAACTTTGACTTGTAGATTTTATGACAGACAACGAAGGGCAAAGCCGCCCTCTACCATAACTCCCTGTGTCCACTTTTACTTACCTTATGAGACCTGAACACTTACCCGCATGCCATTTCCTCAACGTAAACTGAAGAACTTGAGCCCAACAAGCTTCAAACAAACAAACAAACACGCCCAAGACCGTTAGTGTAAACTAGGCCGCAACATGCACTTGAGGGAAAGCTTCTTTCCGTCGGAGCCTAAGCCTGTTGGCAAAGAAGTTCTTGCAAGTATTTTGGTAATATTGTGGTTTAATATTGCGTTAATATGGAAAAGAAAATGGAAACTACTATAATGGGGTTACATATGTAATGTATATATATATGTATTTATAGAGATACTACCCCAATAATGGAAAATCAAATGGTAAAGAAAATGGAAAATTAAATGGAAACAGTGGTTTAGGGCGTAGGATTATATTGGGGTTATAATGGGATAATGGAAACGAAAATGGAAACTACAAAAAAAGAAGTGGATACAGTGGGGCGATAGCGATAATGGAAAAGAAAATGAAACTACTATAATGGGTTATATAGGGATTATAGGTATGTGCAAGCTCGTCCAGTGAAAGACTGCTGCACAGAAGTGCCGAAGCACTCAACCCAAACACCCCTCAACTCAGTAAGTCCGAAGAAATCAAGTTCCGGCTTTGATTTCTCTTGGATTGACACATCTGTGCAACACCCACTGAACCCGGAAAAGTCCCAGGTCCTGCTATCCGGGCTTACACCCACTCGCGCAAAGACGCTCAACCTGGTCACCCGACTGTCAGTTTGGCCTGGTATGGACATAAAAACAAGCGAGCCGGGCAAGCAGTTGATTGATTAACCCGGCATCCAAGGACTTCATCATTGGCGTCAAGAGCTCCTCAGCATTCCCGCTATGAGGGGCTCCGCAACCTACGACTATGGGACTGGGCGGGCTGATTTGTGATCTCTGACTCAACCAGAATACTTCACTATTCAGCCTGGCGTCATTCATGTAATCCACGTTCTGCGCAGCCTGGTGCCACCGGAATGCTGTCCAAAGAGATGCTGGCAACATGGAATTGAAATTCTAAGACCATATTCAGAAAGGCCCGCGGATGCACGTGCGAAGCATCAAGATGCCAAGGACTGGCTGCCAACCCGGCATGTCTTCTCAGGCATCTTTCTGTGCGATTGCTGCAGAAGACCCTATCTTATCGGCTAACCCTCTGCGCAGCAGTGAATCTTTTTCCCTGAACCGATCCCCGCACCTCGCTCTTGAGCACCAAGCCCTTGACCTGGGTGTCAAATGGCGTCAAGGAATCTTCAACGGTGCGGCTTGAGACCCACCTCTCCAAGGATAAAGGGCCGATCCTTGCGCAGGCGCTGCATGGACTCGACGACCTCACACCCAGACTCGGCCAAAGCCAATTCGCTGGCTAGAGTAACGAGGGGGAGGCCTGCACCAGCGTACTGGCCGGAACCTGCGCACGATGCAACAGCCTCTTCATTCTTGTGCAAAGAGACAGGCCCTGAACCCCGCACTCACACACATTCCCTGCTTTGACCAACAAACATCAAAAAGAGGCAGGAAACCTCTCACACCTGCCTCGCCGTTCCGCTGCAGCAACCCCCACTTCCGCAGCACCGTACGGTGGTCGCCCTGCTCAAAGGCGTCTGTCGTGGCCTGTGAAGTGAATGGAGGTGTTAGGGATTCTGTGCACTGCCCGGCTCTCTGCAAGATCGACCTCCAAGAGACGTGAGGTGGTCGACGTTGCTCCATCCTCCTTCAACTTGCCAGCCTCGTACAGCTCAACTGAGGTTGGAGACTTTCGTCAAGTCCATGCGGGGCCTTTCCTTTGCCACGCTTTCGCCACGGCCACAGGACCTGGGAGGGAAGTGCAACATCTTTTCAAGGCGTGGAAGACACATTGGTCACTTTGTAACTTGACTGCCCGGAAGTCGCTAAGCGCCAGGCGTTCCCGAACAAGAAGAACTGAAGTAAGAATGCACCACCAAAGAGCAGCAACTGTGCGCAGCAAACAACGCTTTCGCCGTGGATTCAGCATGGGGCTTCAGAGAAGTGCTGTGGTGAGCTGACATGGTTTGTCGCAAAGGACATGTTTTTGTAGGATTGCGGGTGGAATCTTCAGACTGCTCGTAACAGAACATCCCAGGTGTGAGGCACAAATCATCATTGAACCCCGTCATCAACCCAGCAAATGCAACATGCTTCCATACATATACATATATATATATACATGTTGAGGATGACAATTTACACGCGGTGTAAGGTGCTGCCCAGGCCTCAGCACTGAAGCTCACCAGCAGTTTCTGAACCTCGCTTGGAGTCAGTCAGGCTTCACTCGAAGTCTCAGGCAGGATCTTTGGTATGAATTTTGCACAATCCCAAATTGGCCACTGCCATCGCAGAACACATCTGCTATGCTGGACATGGCACTGGGACATGGCAAGCATCAGGCTTCAACCATTCAGGTGGGCGTAGGCATCAGAGAGAAACATCACAAGCTACATGGCATCAATGCGCGCCGGACATTCATTCAAACATGTTGCCTCAGGCAACGTAAAGCCGTAGGTGAGAAGTCCACACCAGGCCTCATCAATGACGTCCGCCATTGCCGCGGTTTGTTCTCGAGCTTTCCTTGCTTGATATGGCAGCACAAGAGGGCATGTTGCTGCTTCGCTTCTGCGTCTTTGATACACAAGCCAAAATCATGAGAGAAACAATCCCCGCACCACAACTTAAGATGCCATTTCTGCAGCTCAACGAAATATGTCTTTAGGAATCCCACGCACCTCAAACTCACATCCAGGCCTGCAGGAGCTCAAGACAATTGGCGCCGAGTGGCTACGGATACCTGGCAGGAACTCTGGCCCTTGCAACGCACGCCAACTCAAACTTGGGGCACCAAATATCTCCTGAGCCTTGCGAGCACAAGCCAGACACGCTAACCTGACCTGAAGAGGACTCAATGACCCGCCGGCACGCACCACCCCCGAACCCAGAGATTGCCTGGAGCTTGGCTCCAACACGTTTTGGGGGAAGATGGTCGGCCGGCCACAGGCAAGCCCAGCGCAGAGTAAGGGTCTTACCTTGAAAAGGACAGGAAGAATCCAAGCCGACAAGAGCAGTGTGCGAGCCTACACGTTGCAGCCTCCATGGCCCTGGAACACGGGTTGCCAGAAGTGGGATCTCTGATGCTTGAAAAACTCAAGAACTCAAGACTTGGATTGTCAGATTGTTGGTGGATCAGCAACAGATGAGCCACCCATCACTTGCATCATCACTGCCAAGAAGCACTGCAGCTGTTTGCCTTGGAAGCCAGATGACGTCTTTGGATGTCTCTGGTAGGAAGTTCCGAGACAGAACCCAACTTGCGGTAACAATCATGAGCTATTGCCAAGGGGCTTGCGGGGAAGGTCGTGGCACAGCCGGCGGAGCGATAAAGAAGTCTGCGTAAGTCAGCGGTAAGGGTGCCTGGGTGCTCATGTAAGAAGAGACGAGGCTGCAATCAAGCAGATACATCTTACAGTGTGAATCTGGAAGCTTGTTGACATAATATTGCAATTCATCCATTCACCTTGAGGTATGAATCGGCAGCGCTCAAAACTTAATAATGAAACAAGACCAAGCACGCGCAGCTAGCAGCTGCAACAGCGCGAAGCTTGAGCCACCGGCCACGTGAAACAGTCTGGATTCATCAAGTGACAGAGGACTTCACGCAATGACCGGGCAGAAGCGGACTCGACAACTCGAGCTTAGGAACAATAACTTGCCGACTCTACGGAGCCCCATCGGCCACACGTTTGCTGGCAGCAGCGAAGCATCACCAAAGCACGACGCACTCTGCCTTGGCCGCCAGTGCGCGCTTCCTGGCTTTTCGGTAATGTTGAAAAGAGCAACATCTCAAGCCATTCTTCTGCAAACCAGGCCAAATCTGCTAATGTGAGTTTATTTCTGCTCGTCAAAAGCAAACCAATGAGGACAAAATAGGGCAACAAAAGCTCACTTGCAGAACGCTAGTGATTTGATCATGGCATTTCTAGACCCTTTTCGCGCTGCAGTCAGCAGAACAAATACTACTTCAGATCTTAGGTCAATCAAGAAGTACGTACAGCACAAAAGGTCCATTCGCAAGCAATCGTGCAGCTCTGTATGCCGATCCTCTTCATCCTCGCGCCATCCCAGGTGACGGCCGTGATGCATTGGTTTGATCCAAGCTCGCTGGTGAACTACAACGAACAAATCAAGGCATGCATGAATCTGGGGTGAAGAATCGCTACAAAGCTTGTGGAAACGCTCACAATACACGATCTCAGAACGACCTCTGGTACATCATGCGTGTGGAGCATCATGACCCATCCTCTTTCAGAATGTCAATAACAGTCAGGTGGTGAAACCATGTGTGCTTCTATCACCGTATGGTGATGGCACTGAGCTTCTCATTAACGGTAACAGAACATCACGATGTGCACGCAGCCACTTCTGGATACGGCAGATGAGAGATGTTCATCAAACACGTGTCGAACCGATTTCAACACAAACCTCCTGTTCACGCACAACCTGCAATGGCAACTCCACAAGTTCGCCATATCTAAGTGAAAGAAATGATGAGCGCAGGCAAAATCAAAGTTGCCCAGTTTGGCCCGAACAGTTCCGACCCGTTTGTCAACGCCGCACTGCACGGCACCGCAGCAGATGGAACGAGCGAGAACCTTAGTTCAGATTAGAAGGTAAAAGCCAATCAAGAACTCAAAGGCCATGTGACATCTCATACATGCAAGTTGCTTGAACGACATAGTATTTCCATAATCGATGCACTCGCCCGCATTGATGTTGCCAATACTGGTGGTATCGCTCAAAAATCCAACAATTTCTTGGCTCGCTTGTCCGGAGCAGTCTTGACCACCAGGGAAATCTTTTCGGTTTACGAAACTGCCCTGGCAATACCAACCATGCGTTTGCGACTCATGTTGGCAACACAACGTCTCACCGGACACGGAACATGTGAATTCCCGCTCACCAGAAACACAGCCGCTTCCAAAGTATTGTGCGTAGCTGATGTTGGTGGCAGCAACATGGTCGAAGACTGCCACCAACAACCACCAGAAGGGAACGTCCATGGCAATGCTAACGCATTTTCCTTGCCAACCTTCATAGGACGCCATGTTGACAATGTTGCTATAAGGCTCAATTTGGGACAACCTTGCATGTGAGCTTTCAACAATGCTGCATGCACACCAACACATTGAGCCATTTGCATGGTTTTCGCGATCGAATTCAAAAACTTGCAACCATGTGTCCGTAAGCCTAAATCAATACTGGTTTACCATAAGATCGTTATCCAATGTTACGAGGCTACACCAACAAACGACTGTCCGTACACAAACTTGGAAAACGCACTGCCTCAAGTGCTTACCCGTTGCTCGCCAAAACTTTGGTTTGCATGTGGCCGCGCCTACTATCCGCAATGTGAGGCAACATGCGCACAGCAAGTTCCATTCCGCCCCAAAGCATTTTGAATTTCGTGTTGTGTTTAATCCAAGCGCTACGTTGAAATCAATACTGTGGAAAGTGTGAATGGAACATGACAGGGAAAAACACAAAAACAAAATATGGGGCCTGCAATGCGATGTAGATTGCTGTATGGAGGAAACCTGAGAGGGTATGTGCGAAGCGCAACATAAATGGGAATGCGAAAGAAAAGGGCAAGACACATTGAACTTCCAATGCCGGAGAACCCAATTTGCATGCTTACGTCCACAAGCAAGTGGGGCAACCATGACAAAGACAGGGCTTGACGACACAGTTCCTGCAGGTACGCTTTTCTAACCTTCCTGCTGGGCAGTCTGGTGTTTGGGTCTGAGCTATACATTACACATGCAATGTGTTCCAATACATGCAGATGCTTCCTACAGAGAACGTTTGTACAACCTCCTATTTTGCTTGGAACTCGTACTGCATATGTTTCCTTCAAACACAAAATAAAGGACCAGGGAACCCCACATGCGTAGTTTAGCTTTAATCTAAGTAAAATGATATTAGGATGCCGTCGCCCGTCGAAACAAAAGGAACAAGAACACGAAACGATGACTGGGGAGATGATTCCCTGAAAAATC